TTCCCTCTAACTTGTATCAAATGCTTTTCTTAGGTCAATAAATATCCCCATCGTATATTTTTTCTCATCCATAGCACTTGTAATGTCCTCCATCAGGTCAGTAATGGCAAAGGATGTCGATCTTTTCGACCTAAAACCATATTGACAATCAGATAAGATTTTATGTTTGTCAATAAATGTGTCTAATCTGTTATTAAAGAGTTTTTCCAGAATTTTTGAAAATTGTGACAACAGAGAAATCGGTCTATAATTTGTGAGGTTGTGCTTATCACCAGATTTATACAGAGGAATAACCTTTGCTATTTTCATATTATTGGGGAACTGCCCAAGTCGAAACGACATATTAAAAATATGGGTTAATGGTTTGCATATCCCCTCAATTACCCACTTGACAGTTGTCATGGTGATACCATCACTATCACTGGATGTTTTGTTACCACATTTGTTCACTATCTCTATAATTTCCTTTTCAGCTATGGGCTTCAAAAACATTGAACTCATGTTCCTTTCGATTGTATTATTATTTATAGTGATGGATGTATCATCTGTACAAATGCCTCCTGCTAAACTAGGACCAACGTTCACAAAGAACCTGTTAAACTTTTCAACTACATCCTCCATTTTTAAATTAAATTGAGATGATATATGCAATAAAACTAGAAGAATAGAGTGGGGGATGTAATTTAATCCCAGTCTGTACCTGCCCACACAGTGAAATCACCTGTGCAGGCACCACAGCTGTGTGAGCACTGAATCATTAAACTCTCAGCCTCTTAAAGAATAACTAAACACCAGCAAAGGTGCTACAGACCGGAAACATTCAACAAGAAAGTGTAGTGATTTTTTTTTTTTTATATGTACTCTATGCTTAATTATTGACTTACAGTACAGGGAGTCTGCATCCAAGGTTCACCATCAATCTGCATGGGCAGGGATTTACTGGTTCTGCAAGTAACAACAAAATATAATACAATGAAACATCATGAAAAAATTATGAAAACATCAAATTCTGTATAACCAATCTACAGTTAAATACTATATAATAATAATCATTTTTATTCGCCAAGTATGTTACATCCACAAGGAATTTGTCTCCAGTACAGAACCAATCTGTGGCACAAACCAGTGGTGAAACTGTCCCTGCAGGGTGCTACTGTGGCCATCGGGAACAACTTGGGGTTCAGTGTCTTGCCCAAGGACACTGACATGTTGACTGCAGGTGCTGCAAATCAAACCTCCAACCTTCTAGGTGGAAGATGACCACTTTACCCCGAGCCACAGCCACCCCATATAATACTTCATACTAAATTTTCCATTCAGCATGAGTGTTCCTAAAAATAAATGTAACCGATTTTTGCTGCACAGTAGAGTAGTGGTCCACTTTAACGCTGACCTGATGGTCACAGAGGAGCACTGTGCTAGACGCCTTCCTGCACTCTTGAGACCGGTGTAGATCTGACCCATCTCCATGGCTCCTTCCAGTCCTACCACCTCCAGCAGCTGGTCAGACAGGTCTAAAACACAAAAAGATATCTTTAAACTAATGCACATAAAGTCCAGTCAACTGGACGTGATTGAAATTCACTTGATTATTAATTGTGTTTGTGTAATGACTGCCGATTATTGATTGATGCTGATTGGACAATGAAGATTCAAGCAAGCACGCATTGTGAGCATGAAAACAACATGTACAATATGTTCACTGATGTCCCCAAATGTCTTCGACTTTAAAACCACAAATTAAACCCAGAAACAAAAGGGAGGGAGAAGAGGAATCAAGGAACTAGAAACTGAAACTAGAACTAGAAACTGAGGGAAAATATGAAAACACTTCAGACTTTCCTTCTGCTTCTGAAATATTTAACATGCAGTTTTGAAAAAGGCAACAAGAATAACTACAGCTATTAATTAGATTGCACCAGCAATGCAAAGCAATCTTGTGATAATGTAATTATTAATTTCTCATCTGTTTTGCACTTATGAGCATTGATTTTGCCCCTGCTGGAAGCCCAGTGTCACGCAGGGCCCATCTGTTTCAGCGGCCCGCTCTGCCTCTGACTCTCCATTGACTCGTCCCTACTCAAATTAAGAAGCTGCTGCCTCGCTGTTGGGAGTATACAGACACTAATTGAAACTAAGACCCATTTTTAGGCACTTGGTGCATGCGAGCGAGTTAGCTCGCTGTCACCAGTGCTGCTCCGCCACTGTCATGTTATCAGAGCTGTGCTGGTTTCCTGAAGGAGTGTCCTGGGTAATGTTGCTGTTGTTGAGAGGTGTTGTTGCCGCTGCCGCGCTGTGATGTCCAGTTGTCACCATGGTGATGGACACGCGTCTGTCCCTATTTCAGTTCTGTGAGTACAGAGCTTTCCAGGGTCGAAGTGGAAGCGAGTGTGTACATACACAGCAGACCCCATGACACTGGGCTCTAAAGCTGCTCCTCCTCCCGTTAAGATCCCAAGTTGATGCAAACAGCTCACACAGGCCTGCACCGACACATAGGATTTCACCACGGTGATAGGACACCAAGTTAAATAAACCATTACTTATTAAAGCCAAGAGGTAAGGAACCATGCTGTAATGTTGCAAAGGGATTTTAAAATTTGTTTAAAATTAACCTACATTTCCATTATTTATGACAAACTCTTTTTAAAATTTATTCTCTCCTATTTTACTCAAGTGCAGACACACGCCTCCATTGACTTTATTGAATGAGAGCCAGACTATTGGTTAATTTCCACTTTTATTTTGAATCTCCTACCATTATTTATTATATTAGAGGTGCAAATGAAACCTCTGGAGCAGTAATCAAAAATATACTCTGCTAAATATAGAAATAAAGACATCATGTTTACTTCCCAGAGACAAACTGGGAGAAAAATGGAGTCAGCTATATGTTTACACAAGAAAATGGTTGAATTATTAACACAAGGTAAGCAGCCGCTGGCTAAAAATAAACCAAAACACCCCTTACCTAACCTAAAATCAACTGTGTATCTCATTTAAGTGAACAAAGTAATATTTGACTGTAATAAACACACACACACACACACGTGCACTGTGTTTTCATTCCTTGTGGGGACTTTACACTGACTTACATTCATTTCCTGTAGACTTATCCTAACCTTAACCATAACCACTACTTGCCTAACACCTAACACCTAAACCATGTTGTCACTCTAAAATTCAGAGATTTCCTTGTGGGGACCAGCTCCTGGTCCCCACAAGGATGCCCGAGTCCCCACAATGTGAGTGTGTTACCAGGTTTCGGTCCTCATGATGTAAGTAATACAAAGGCGCACACACACACACACACAGTGTGTGAGACAGTCATATGAATGAAATGTCTACATAGAAGATTCACAAAAGCATTGCTGTGGCTTTAATCTCCATGTGTTTCCATCAGAGTGGGATTAGAAACTGCATTTTGTCACTGTCAAAAAACTACCTGTCGAGGCCGGTGGCCGCACTGACACATGTGGAGCGACAGGGTGAAAGTGTAGGAATAAAAGAGAGACAGTGAGGGGAGTGGATCAGGACCAGCATCCGATCAGCTGAAAGTCAAGCTAAAGAGGAATGGCGGGAGGAGGAGGGAGGGTGCATGGAGGTCGATCCTCCAATGGAAGCTTCATGGGGCTTGTCATGGGGCATCAGTCCCAGGCATCAACCCGTCCACCCCCACATGGACCCCCCCTCACTCCCACCCTCCCCTACAAAACCTCAGTCCCATTCTAAATAATTCACTCCGTAGCCATTCCCTTCCACCTGAGGGGCTTGTCTCCTGGCGTCACCAGCGGGACGATTTAACAGCTCCCGAAAGGTCAGGGTTTTTTTTTAATCCCCCAGGCACCTCCACCCCCACACATACAGACACACTCAGCCACAAACACACACACAAAATAATCTCTGCCAACAGTTTGATCTGTGTGTTGTGCTCGGCAGTGCCCCCTCTGGGCTAATGCACCCCTGTGTTTACCTCTAAATATGCTGTTCTCTTGATCTGACAAGTTAGGCCACTCACCTTGAGGGCACCTTCTGCAAGGGCATGTACTCACAGACACAAAAGTGCACGCCCACACACACACATCAATATTGAAGCGTAATCAAACGGACACGAATACACAGAGGTGTAGTGGTACCAGTAACATACTCCCCACTCACACTAAGTGCTTTTCCAGGGTCAGACTGTGGACTTTTTTCAACCTCTATCACAGAAGTGATTTTTATTCAGGGATAAATGGAGTGTTCATTGTAGCAAAGTTGAGCTTTGAATTGGTTAACTAGCTCCCTCACAGTCTGCCCTCCTAACTACCACACTGAGCCTTCATCTGACAGTCACATTATACTGGTCCAAACCAATCCTCTCTCACCTCTCAAACAGTCCAAAATGCTGCTGCTTGCCTGCTGACAGGTACGTGTGAGCACTTTTGCACTGGTTACCAGTGGATTTTAGAATTAAATTTGAGATTCGTTTTACTTTTAAGGTGCTGCACAGGTTAGCTCTGAGTTATTGTATATTATGTATCTTATAAAGTGTTGTAGGCCCTAACCCTAACCCTCACGATCTCTTAGATCTACTGATCATTTGTTTCTGACAGTTCCAAAGTCACGGTTGAAAAGCAGGGATGATCGCACTTTTCCGATCATGTCCCCTAAACTTTCTCTTTAAATGTGTTGTCCTTTATTCAGTTTTTAGTTATTTTTTGGTACTTCTATTTTGTGTCTTATTTTAATCTCTGATGCCACTTATGTGTGCTGTTAAGAAGCACTTTGAAACATGTTTGGAAAAGTGCTATATAAATACATTTTATTATTATATTTTTATTATTACCATACTAGAGAAGCTACAAGACAAGTATCCCAATAGTGCTTATTTTGTTTGTATTGACTGAGCCATTTTCCTGTTTCTTCCACTCCCTTACTGTCCCCGCTGTGATTTATACTTTCTCTTCTTGTCACTGCCTTTCCAACTCACAAACATTTGACTTTTTGATCACAAGTAAACATTGTGAACATGAATTAGGAATGAACTTACTGTACCGTTTATTAACAGACATTGAGTTTTGAAGGCAAACAGCTACTGAAATCCAATGGAGACAAAACAATCAAATTTGTGAAAAAAAATTAATAAACCATCTTAGAAAACTTCACAGACGTCTGTTTTTTCATCAGTCTTGGCCGGTGAGCACTGCCACCATGTCTGGGGATCCTCACTGACTCAACATGTTTCAGGTCCGACACCCTACTTCACCCTAACACACCATCTCACCAGGAAACCTAAAAACATACTGTGCATCACATGACCAAGCAGGAGTTAGACATGACCGAGTCCCATCCCTCATGATCTCTTCACTACACTGGCTCCCAGTGTGTTTAGCATGCTAAACATTTGCACATTAGCATTAAACTCAAGTACAACGGAGGCTGATGGGGGTTAAATTATTTGCTCATAAACCATTGTATTGAATAATTTACAATTATGACCTGCTTGTAGCACAACTTTCACGGTAATTTATCCAGTAGTTGAGATAATTCACTGTTGGTCTGGCTGTCTAACATTTGCCACCTGTGCTAACATGGCTAAAAAAATAAAGCCTGGAACTCAATTTCTACCACTTATTTCTAAGAGCTCCTCCACTGCACCAGTTCCCACAGAGCAGCTGACTCATTCTGCTCTGTTCATTCATATATTGCCGTTGACGGGCTTCCTTTTGACGTAAATCGATTCAGGGTTATGCCCAACACCCCTTCAGTCCACTCCAATTAGATGAGTCTGTCCACTACATAGACCATTAACACACAAAAGACTGTTCCAAAGAGTGACAAGACTGTACTTCTTCTTTGCAAACAAGACCTGCTAGATATGATTCATCTTGTCATCTGTGAAATATTCATGCACTCTGGAAAAGTTTGGCCAAAAGTTTATTCGGTGGTCTGCCTGATAGGAGCAAGGCCACAGACAGCCTGTGATGTGAGCTTAGGGAAAACAGCCCGGTACACTGCACATTTACATTATTATTGTCAAACAGTGCAAGCCAACCATGATCTACAATATATGTAGGTTTGTGAAAATGCTTTTGGTGACTCACCAGTTACCTAATGCCTTGTTTTTTTGGCTTTTCAAAAACAATTTATAATGGCTTGTGCTTCAAACAGGAGTAAGAGTCCAGTGTAGCAGCTTGAAATGCTAATGTCAGCATGGTGCAGTGACAATGTTAACATACAGTTGTGTTTAACATGTTCATCTGAGTTTAACATTTACCAGTTAGCACCAAACAAGTATGGCTGAGGGTGATCACATAGGTCACCAGGAGATTATGTAGAACATTTCACTGCAGCACACCTGACACAGTTATTTCACTGAATAAATGAAAACTTTGGGGGTGCTAGATGAAAGATCAGGAGATCCCCAAAGTCATGGGCCAAAGTAGTTGACTTACCAACATTACCCACGCTGCAAGTGCAGCGTAAAACACAAACTCTGTTTTGAAACAGTACTGTACATTATGTAATGAGACATCTCCTATTGGATTTGTGCAGCCTAGTCTCACAGCATAATGTATAATAGCTATGTTGGTCCACAATGCAAAATGTAATAGTCTTACAATAAAGCCTCAATGCAATGTTTTTCTGGATCAAAAATTGTGACATGGGAATGTTCTGGTGGCGAAAAAGAAACACAATGGCTGACATTCCTTATACTTGGTTAAAGCAACTAGTACATGGTAAGGGAAAGCCACTTGGTTTGGTTAAAACATTCTCGGATGAAAAGCATAGCATTGCACAGGGGACCTGATCTCCAGTTTTCTGCATATAGGTCAGGTGTTTGTTGGACCCATCCATCCACCCAGTCACCACCTTCCTAGTGTTTTTTAACATTCTCTAGCCTTCAATGGATGCTAAAAGCTAGCTTCCCAATTCACACTCCAGTCTAATTGGTGGATGTAATGCACTACTTTGTTGTTTGCCAATGGCCACAAAACGCAAAGGAGAAGAACACAAAGAAGGGCATTGGGCTGCAATACTAAAATGTTTCCACATCACAGTTCTACAGCTGTTGACACCAATACATTATACACTGTGGATCAACATACTGCAGCTATTCATAATCACCTTTATTTGACCAAGTATGTTACACACAGGGCGCAACACTCTCACCGCTGCGGCCCGGGTTCGAATCAGGGTTGCGTCAGGAAGGGCATCCGGCGTAAAACGCGTGCCAAATGTCAACATGCGAGTCATCAGTGTGACGATTCGCTGTGGCAACCCCTAAACGGGAAAAAGCCGAAAGTGACTTTCTTTCTATGTTACACACAAGGAATTTGTTTCCGGTACAGAACCAAGGCAGCCATCTGCAGCACAAAGTCACACCGATGGCTCTAACCATTGGGGGCGAATTGGAGGTTTCAATGTCTTGCCCAAAGACACTTCGACTGCAGGCACCGTGATTCGAATCTGCAATCCTCTGGTTGGAAGACGACCGCTCTACCCACTGAACCATAGTCAACCCTATTCCACACTTTCTGGTGAGACTGGGCTGGTTTGTAGGTTGTACAGTGCCTTGCGAAAGTATTCGGCCCCCTTGAACTTTGCAACCTTTTGCCACATTTCAGGCTTCAAACATAAAGATATAAAACTGTAATTTTTTGTGAAGAATCAACAACAAGTGGGACACAATCATGAAGTGGAACGAAATTTATTGGATATTTCAAACTTTTTTAACAAATAAAAAACTGAAAAATTGGGCGTGCAAAATTATTCAACCCCCTTAAGTTAATACGTTGTAGCGCCACCTTTTGCTGCGATTACAGCTGTAAATCGCTTGGGGTATGTCTCTATCAGTTTTGCACATCGAGAGACTGAAATTTTTGCCCATGCCTCCTTGCAAAACAGCTCGAGCTCAGTGAGGTTGGATGGAGAGCATTTGTGAACAGCAGTTTTCAGTTCTTTCCACAGATTCTCGATGGGATTCAGGTCTGGACTTTGACTTGACCATTCTAACACCTGGATATGTTTATTTGGGAACCATTCCATTGTAGATTTTGCTTTATGTTTTGGATCATTGTCTTGTTGGAAGACAAATCTCCATCCCAGTCTCAGGTCTTTTGCAGACTCCATCAGGTTTCCTTCCAGAATGGTCCTGTATTTGGCTCCATCCATCTTCCCATCAATTTTAACCATCTTCCCTGTCCCTGCTGAAGAAAAGCAGGCCCAAAACATGATGCTGCCACCACCATGTTTGACAATGGGGATGGTGTGTTCAGGGTGATGAGCTGTGCTGCTTTTACGCCAAACATAACGTTTTGCATTGTTGCCAAAAAGTTCGATTTTGGTTTCATCTGACCAGAGCACCTTCTTCCACATGTTTGGTGTGTCTCCCAGGTGGCTTGTGGCAAACTTTAAACGACACTTTTTATGGATATCTTTAAGAAATGGCTTTCTTCTTGCCACTCTTCCATAAAGGCCAGATTTGTGCAGTATACGACTGATTGTTGTCCTATGGACAGAGTCTCCCACCTCAGCTGTAGATCTCTGCAGTTCATCCAGAGTGATCATGGGCCTCTTGGCTGCATCTCTGATCAGTCTTCTCCTTGTATGAGCTGAAAGTTTAGAGGGACGGCCAGGTCTTGGTAGATTTGCAGTGGTCTGATACTCCTTCCATTTCAATATTATCGCTTGCACAGTGCTCCTTGGGATGTTTAAAGCTTGGGAAATCTTTTTGTATCCAAATCCGGCTTTAAACTTCTCCACAACAGTATCTCGGACCTGCCTGGTGTGTTCCTTGTTCTTCATGATGCTCTCTGCGCTTTAAACAGACCTCTGAGACTATCACAGTGCAGGTGCATTTATACGGAGACTTGATTACACACAGGTGGATTCTATTTATCATCATTAGTCATTTAGGTCAACATTGGATCATTCAGAGATCCTCACTGAACTTCTGGAGAGAGTTTGCTGCACTGAAAGTAAAGGGGCTGAATAATTTTGCACGCCCAATTATTCAGTTTTTTATTTGTTAAAAAAGTTTGAAATATCCAATAAATTTCATTCCACTTGATGGGTTCGTTTACTGCAGAGACTGCAGGATTTATGCCAACAACCATAACAGTCATACATGTATTTAAACTCCTATGCTGTCAAGTTTACCTTGAACTGCAAACATCAGCTCTTTCGGGTCAACCACAGGTGTCCTTTTGTCTCTGCCCTTTTTGCCCCCCTTGCGGTGACCCCTCCTCTTCTTGCTCTTGCCCCAAAGGTTGGAGCCGCCGTGCATGCTGGGAATGTTGAGAATGGCAATTCCTTCCAAGGAGATGCTGCTGAGGTCCAGAGTAATACCATCACACTTTCAGAAAGAAGAAAGAAACAGAATTGGTCTAATCACACAGCTGTCATAATAGGTTAGCAATGAAAGATTCTGAGCTCAGTAATTCGCCTGACCTCTGAACTAATCAAAAGCTTGTAATGTGTACACGAACCCATCTCTTTGAACATCTGAGCCTCTCTCTCCATCTTAACATTTAAACCTGAATCTGCCTTTCTGTCTATGGTTGACATTGGTTCCTGTGTGAACTTAGATGGAGACAGAGAAACCAAACCCATGCCTTTATCTGAGCTTTAGCTTGTTACTTTGTCTGAGCATGAGTGTGAACTGCCTTAAATTTAAACTTGTTTCACTGACCCTGGACTTGCCTCTTTGCCTGAATCACAGTTTGGACCTGTCACTGTCTCTGAGCCTAAACTTGACATAATCACTGTAAGGCTGAGTATCAACCTTTCTGAGCCACAGCCTGTCTGTTTCAGCCTGAACTTAAACATGTTTCTCAATTTGAGCCTGGGTGTGAACTTGTTCTGCTGTCTTGGTCTAAACCTGTTGCTCCATCTGAGCCTGTTTTTCTGTCTGTGCCTAAATATGAATTTAGCTCAACCTGAGCCTGAACATTTCCTTTTGGTCTGAGGCTGAAGCTGAAACCAGAATGCACCAGAACCGTCTTCTGTCAGGTATTATGCTCTGAAAGTATAATTATAATAATGGATATTACACAAGTCTGGATTCGTCCTCACCTCCATACTGGCTCTACTCCATTAGGTACTTAACCAGCACTAATTAATAAAGGCCTTTGCACTGTGTGGATAACTCTGAGAAGGGGTAAGATGAACTGTACAGAAACCATCTTCATTATCACTCAATATCACACACAGCAGGGTCATGCAGGGCTAATTACCTATGTGTTTGAACTGAGGTTCAGTGACAAGCAGGTGGGGAGGTCCACAGATAGCCTGTACACGTTAACACTTGTCCGGGTAAATTTGGGCTATTCATGGAACAAGCACTAACCAGAATGTTTTTAAAAGGCACTGTTAATCTCACCAGCGAATTTATTGTATTGCATGTTCATATCGTCTAATCAAATATTCCTAATAACACGGAGAAAGTCTGACTGGTTGGGATTCACATAAAATAGTTGTTCAAAGGCAAATTTACAAAAGCGGGGACTTGAAAAGTATTTTCTTCTTGTACGTGTCTCTTCAAATGGAAAATGTGTGGTTTGACTTACCTCGACCTCCAGAAAGTCGTGGAGCTTCTTACATGTGGCCGAAAACGTCTCAGAAGTGCCGAACTCAAAGTACCACAGCTTATTCTTTGTTCTGAAAAAGACAAGACCACAGGGAACTGCAAAGGGACCAAGAACAGAGCAGGAGTGTTTTCTCCACATGTGAATCTGAATCTGGTGCTGTCATAGCACCTCTCTTCTCTGTCTAGTTCCCAGCATGCTGAGCCTATGGCCCAGAAACAGAGGACTCCTCTGTGAAGGTGTATTGTGTTTGGGAAAACATATCTTCTAAACTACACAGGAAATACACCTGTAATGTTTACTGTTGGCTAAAATCGTCCTGTCATTAATCTCCAAAGAATGCATAATGTGCTTCATTAATCACATACTGAAGCATGATGATGAGTCTGAAGCCAGTTAAAGAGGCATCTGAGGGAGCACATGGGGTGGCCGGTGTGAACCAATGCCCAACATTAAGGCCATGTGAGGGGTCTAACAGGCTAATTTACCTACCCCTGCAATTAACAGAGGACTGGGGTGCTGCTCCCTGGGCTTCCTACAGCACTCACTCCCATTGCTAAGGCTGATGATCAGCGACCTCACAGAGACGAGTCACCATCTGTCTGAATACTGCTCACACATTCTCTCATGACTACAAGAATCATCTTTATACTGTATTTTCCTGCAGTAGTGGTTATTTATTGTACTGCTTCTATTCTATATTATATTTTTATTAGTGAAGTGTGACATAATGAAGCAGCCTGTGTAATCATGCTGATCATGTAAACAGATACCAACAGTGCAATCCAGACTGGAATTTAAAAGGAAATGCCACATTTAACAACTGTATTTATCTGAGTAGCTGATTAGTGGGGTTACAGTATTTAAATTATTTTATTTCAATGATGAGCAAGCAAAGTGCATTAAGTTAGATGTAAATACTGACTGGCAGAAGTCTAGGTTGATGGGGTGAGCTATGGACAGGATCTTGTGTGCTTTAGTTTTGCTTAATTGGCCATGTGAGAAAACAGCATTCAAACTCTTTCCTTCTCAGTGACAGCTACAGTTTGATTGTCCAGAATCAGAACGTCACTTCCTCTTTGCTGCCAAAACAGGAGGTGCACAAACTGTACAATAAAAATTGCACATCAGTCCATGACAGCTCTGTTAAGTGTGCAGTATGAATCACACAAATATCACACACCGTCTTTTACTTTGTCAACTTGCTCTGTGGAACTACAAATGAAAATTAGCTTGAGGATAAACCTTGAGTAATACATGTACTTTGTATTGTCCCTGATAGCTCCCTTAGAGTCGACAATCATCATAGCCCCTCACAAAGCTAAAAATGTCTTTTAAAAGAAACATTTCAAAATGTTTGGGTGCTTGTATATGTAAAAACTAACTTTTTCCACACAGCCCTATGATTTACTCAGTGGAACATTTCCTCTCGACCTGGGGGGCAGGTATATAAATTACTCCTTAGTGCTTTCAGTGACAACAGACTGTGGTGAGCTTCACTGAGGGAGTTAACCCTTGTGTTCTGTTAAGGATCATAAATACTATAAGTTATGTTCATTTTAACTAGGACCGGTAATGTATTTAAAATCACAGAGCTTTTCTTTGAAAATGTTCTACTGGTAAAGGCATGATCACTGAGAGTGAGCCGATTCTGCTTTAGTTTATTCGTGTACATTTTTCCACAATTTCATTGAAAAGTCTGTAACAGGTCTGTGTTCATTTATTGACAAAAAGGATTTCAGGTTTATTCTATACTGAAGAACAGATTGTGAGAAGCTTTTGGTTCTTCCAAGAAACAACAGACAACAACACATAATTTATCTCAAAGCTTCAAGAACAAAAAACCCCTACAACAGTGCTGACATGCAGAATTGGGAACAGTAAAAAATAGTTTTCTCTTAGCTGGAGTCAAAGCACTACATGAAGGCCGTATTAGTATAAGCAGAGTAACAATCACTGAATTATTGATTTCCTCATTAGGACTTTTGTCAGGACCATTTAGCCACTTTATAAATGAGCTTTCATTAGAGTACTTGCAAGGTAGCCATTTATAATCTGCAACATAGTCAATAGCAGGATGGGACCAGAAGGAGGCAGGAGGGTGACAAGGCCATGCTGAGAGGCTTTACACAGTAACACATCCCCAGCATCATCAGTTTGTAGGCTCAGTAGTCCAGAGTGGAAACCCAGAAGAGCACATGAACACAAGCCTGGGTCATTTTGCAAACAAACAAATGAAGGTGGCTACTTCGAAGAACATATTCAAAACTAATGGCTGGCAAATGATGGAGAGGATGAGGACAGATATAGGCAATGCTCTTTGTTGCTTTGTTCAAGCAGGTTTTAGTTTGTTTTTCGTAAATTCAAGAGCCTTTGATATCTAAAGCCGTGTTTAGACTCAAAGGTGACACGATCGCATATATTAAAGATAAGTTGATGTGAAAGGTTGTAGATTCTCTCTAGGTGAGAGAAACTGAGGTGAAAACATCTGTACAAGCTGAAAATGTTTCAGCTTGAGAGAAAAGTTCACATTTATGCCACAGCTTCATAAATGTAGAGAGATGAAAAGGAAACAGGGAGAAGCTTAAGAAACCTGCCAACCTGTTTACAGGTCAAGGTGCTTTTGTTACAGCAAAACAAAAAGTTTCATCAGCTAATCTACTGGATATATCAAGATGTTTTATCATTCACCTGTTGGGCATATAATTGTTATCAGTTTAGATAAGAGTAAAAAAATCTCCTATACACCACTGACTCATCAAATTTTTCAGCACGACTACAGCTTCTGGTCTTTTCTTACAACAGAACCAAAGACCACCTGGCACAACTGGAACCAAACACAGGAAACTACTGTACATCCTCAGTAAGAACAGATACGGTAAAAGACTAACATCTGTCTGTCCTGTCGATTACCACTTACACTAACAAGTGCACCATGACAACAAATCACCTCATGTCCCTGCTCATTAGGTAATTAGGAGCATCTTATTGGCTGGATTAGATTGAAGAATGTTATCTACTGACTGACACTGAACGCTGACTAGTCAGCAGTGTCTTCAACAGTGGCCAGCTTGTCCTAGGATTAATACAGAGTCCATGTCAGTAAAATGATACATTTAAGGTACAGTAGATTAAGAGGACCTTTCTGTTTTCAGAGGAAAAGTGCTTCCACTGACAGACAGCGTTCTGTACCGTACATAGCAGATTTTCATTTCATGGACATGTATTGTGTGTTCTTTGACTGCGAAGTGAAGCTAAAGACAAATTTCCACAAGGTGGACAATAAAGTTATCCTAACCAAATTTCTCAGAGTCCACACTTCAAAGGCTTCTGCAGTGATTTTACCTGCACTATATCAATGCAAAGTGTACTGCAGTAATAACTAAGCGGTATGCATGTGAGTTCAGCTGTAGTAGTCGCAGCTGGTAGGCCAAAAGAAAACAGTGGCTCAGGTTTCTAGAGCCACTGAGGTGTCATTAATTTGCACAAACAAATCATTAAACAAAACAGAAAAACGAGAAGGCAAATACAAACTGTGCAGCTGAGGAAGAAAACACAAAGAACTTTAGAAAAACACATCTAACCAAAATAAAAAGAGGGAAAAAAAGCAAATGACAGACAGATGAGCTACACATCAGAAAGACAAATACACCTCAAACAGCCTGAATCTGAACAACACCGCCGTGTTCGTCAGGCCACCACTGCTTGGTCACCGTATTAGAGGATGTCAGAGGCGATAAGCTTCAGCGCAGCGTCACTGTCCTGAGGCCACAGCACCTTTTAGATGCACTTTCCCCTGGCCACACTGAACACCAAGCAGAGTACCATTGATTTTTTTCCCCTCTGACACTTAATCTAACCCACAATGATCTATGACCTTATTTTCACACTAATTTGTTCTTGATCAGAGGTGATAAATATCGCATTGACATAACCAGCTCTTTGTGCATCACATCAATGCACTGTTTTGTTTAACATGACACAGCCTAGAGCGCTTCGACTCCGACTGGCAGTTTGAGAAATGACCTGACTTGCTTCGTCTTGCCTTCAAGATGCAGCAAGCAGTTTGAAAAATGTATGTCTTTCTGTATGACTGCGCTGATTCCAAGGTGTTTTTTTTTAAAGCAAAAACTACTGTTAATAGTATAATATATCCAACATCTTTAGAAACAAATACAAAGCGCAGGGTGTGTGTGTGTGACCCACACATGTATCACATTTGAATGAAGGTGATCACTTTTTACACAATTTAAATGATTGTATTTCAGTGTGAGACAGTGTAACCTAAACCTTTTTTGTGTACATATATACACTGAACCAATCTAGGTTTACTGCTGCGTAGGCACACCTTTCTGGGGGGGGGGGTCACACTAGTCAAATAGTTCTGTTGTAGAAATTTGCTCCAAAACCTTCTTCTTCGTCTTAATGTGGAGAGTTGCTGTCGAAGCCTCCTGTGACCCACTGAATAGCGCTGACAGCAGTGCAGAGATATTAGTTTCTAAAATGTTTTGAGTGGGACTGACCTCTCTCACCAGTCAGAGATTTTCAGTTATTTCTGTCAGTTTTGTTGCATTCTCATTTCTTGCAATTTCATAACGACAAATATTTGAAGAGTGATGGAGCGTAGCAGATCATAGTAGAGCCTAGTGGAGCAGGGAAAG